GCAGGTTGAGCGTGCGGTGAGGGGCGCCCTCCTGCAGGAAGCTCAGGCCGCAGCTCAGCCCACAGCCCAGCGAGTACTGGCCCAGCAGGTACAGCTGCAGCGTCTCGGCGCTCCCGGAGCCCTGGCGGGGAGGTGGCAGAAGAGGGGCCGCGATGGTGGTCCCCTCACCACCGGGACACCGAGGGCTGGCAGGGTACAAACGCTTCAGTCTACAGGAGGCTGGGCCCCAAAGGAACCCCTCCGATCATTCCCCAAGAGGGAATCCTGCCTCCCGTCAAGCCCTAATGGGGTCATTTCTTCCCGCTTAATTTCCATCCTGGTTGTTACTGGCACCCATGTGCTTGCTGAAGCACCGGTGGTGGCTCGGAGCCTTGGAGGCCTGGGTTTAAAGCCTGACTCCACTTCCTGTGGGTTATCCTCTCTGAGCCTCAGTGAATGGGGCTCACACAGACTTTGCCCTGTGCTTGTGAGGATCATGGGATGATGCACTCCAACGATCTAGCCTGCGGGGCCAGCAGTGCGCACCCACCACCTCCCGGCCTCACCTTGTCCAGGGACAGCAGCGTGGAGACAGCCCTGAGGGAGAACTCCAGCACCACCAGGGAGGCCACCCGGGGCCCCACGAGGGTCAGGATCAGGGCCAGCCCGGGCAGGTGCACGGACTCCAGCAAGGCCCACCGGGCCTGCAGCCGCTCCTTTTCCAGCCGCCATTCCGGGTTGCTGTGGGGGCAGAGCGAGTGTAGGCAGAGTGGCAGAACCAGCAGCCTGGGCCCTGGAGGGGCTCCCGGGTCCCCGGCCACACTCCCTGGCCGGACCGGACAGGTGGTCTCTTGCCCCCAGTCCTCCCTCAGAGACCAGAGTCACAGCTGGGGGTCAGGGGCCTGAAAGGGGCTGGGAGTGGGCCGGGCAGGTGGACACTCACTTGGCACAGCCCACGAAGAAGTAAACCTTCAGGAGGCTGTTCAGGACGGAGACTCCGCAGGCCCCGATGAGGCCTGAGGGGAGGGAGGGAGAGTGGGCGTGCTCGTAGGGTTAGAGGAGGGGCAGCCTAGGGCTGGGAGACCTATGGGTGGGGTGCCCCCTGCACCACCGGAGCAGGCCCTGGAGGGGGCGGGAGGAGGCGCTCACCTTTCAGAACAGAGTCGAGGAGGAGGCCGGAGCCCCACTCGAGGGAGGAGAGGCCCGGGAGCCAGGAGGGGAGGGACGGCAGGGAGAACATGGCAGCCAGATCCAGCCCAGCCTCGGGCCTGGTCTGCTCCGGAGAGCTGACGTCACAGGGCAAAGGTGCCGGTGCAGGCGAGGGAGGTGGGAGGGTCAAAGGCCCAGGGCGGGAGGGCAGGGGGGGGAGCAGGAGGGTTAAGGGGCGATGGGACCAACTGCGGCCCAGGTGTTCCCCATCCGGGCAGCACCAGGTGAAGGGGCATCTCAGGGGCTGGTCTCTGTCCCTGCTCAAGCCTGGTGCCCGCTTTTCTGACCCTCTCTTAGGGCTTGCCTCACAGTGGCTTCCTGGAGCCCAGGCCTCTCATCCTTTGTCCCCAGCCTTCGGTCTGGGCTCTGTCCTCTCAGCCCAGAGTCTGGAGGGGGGCATCTATTCCCCTACATTCCCGAGGTCAGGCTCTACTCTCAGCCCGAAGTCTGGAGGGGGGCGTGTATCCCCACCCAGGCCTGAGGTTGGGATCCAGCTCTGGGCTCCACGCCCTCAGCCACTGGCAGCGCCTTGACTATCCTCTCTGTGTCCACTAGGTGGCAGGTTTCCCCAGGGCCAGACGGGGTGGGGCTGGACCGCCCAATGCTTTTGGACCCTCCTTCCCCAGACTGAAGTAGCCAAGGAAAGGGGTTCAGGGGAGGGGGAGACTAAGGTAGAGAGCCAAAGGGGTGGGGGGCTCAGGGGCAGGGGAGACTGAGGCTGCCGGCAGAGGAGACTCATTGAAGTAAAGAAAATAGAAAACTTTATTGGTTTGGAGTGTTGGTAGGCGTGCCCCCGGGAGCAGCTTTTCCAAGACGCGGGTGTTGGCAGGGAAGGCGTTCAGGCTGCTGGGCCCGGGCCAGACCTCCCCTTTCAGGGGCCTGGGCGTCCACCTCCGTGGCACAGAGGTCAGCGTGGCCTGAGGGACACCCACGCGGGGAGTGTGGCTGCAGCTTGGGGGAAGCGCCGGAGGAGGAGGATGCCTGGCTCTGCTACTCCACTTGGGCCAGCCACTCCCCCAGCCTGGCCTCAGTCTCCTCATCTGAACCACAGGCATCCTGAGGGCTCCTTTCCAGGGTCGCCATGAGGATCTGTGCAAATGCCCGCAGTGCTGGGCACTGGGAGGGCCTCAGGAGAGCCATAGTTGATGTGACAGGCTGAATTGTGTCCCCCCCGCGCCCCAATTCATTATAATGAATCCCTACCCCCAGGACCTCAGAGGGTGGCTGTAGTTGGAGAAGGGTCTTTACAGAGGTAATTACTTAACATGCAGTCACTAGGGTGGCCCTAGTCCCAAATGACTGGTCCTTATAAGATGAGATTGGGGCACAGACACGCACAGAAGGAAGGACACACAGAAGTCCGCCATCTCAAGCCAAGGAGCGAGGCCTGAGAAGAAACCAACCCTGCTGACCCCTTGGTCTTGGACTTCCGGCTTCCAGAACTGGGAGAAATCACCGATGGTTATAGCCGCCTGGTCTGAGGCACTTTGTTCCGGCAGCCCTGGCCGACCGCCATGGGAGATGACACGCCTCCGGGGCACCCAGGGTCTCCTGTGTGCAGTGATCCCTTGGGGACACTCCGCCCCACGTCCTGGTCCTTGCCAAGGGCACAGTTCTGGGCTGGGCAGGGTTGCTCCAGGCCTGGCTCTTCCATCTCAACGCTGTGTGGCTTTGATCAAAGCTCTTCACCCTTCTGAGCCTCGGCTTGCTCCTTGGTGAGAGGGTTTGTCACCTCCCACTGTTGTTTCAGGTTGAAGCCGCTGATGCAGGTAAGTGACCCAGCTCATGGCTGCGCTCGGGACAAGGCAACCCCAAGCAGAGAAGGAAGGGAAGAGGACTTTCCGGAGAACAGAGGTGGTGATTCGCAGCAGGCTGGTGGGTCATGGGGCTGGTGGTCATGGGGCTGGTGGGTTGACCAGCTGTCCACACTCTCCCCAGACCCAGGGCAGAGCCTGGGCCTGTGACTGGTGAGAGATGGCCATTCCCAGCTGGAGCGGGGTGACGGGCTGTGTCAGGCTGCGGGGTGAGGGGCGCCCTAGATGCCCTGGCCCTGCCCTATCGGGCCAGTTTCCGGAGCTCATCCCAGAAGAGCATGCTGAGGATGGTGTGGGGGCCCAGGCGCAGGTAGGCGGGGCCCAGACCCTTGTAGAGCGCCGGGGGTCCCTCCTGCCGCCAGATCTTCACCAGGCAGTCAGCCAGGCCCCGGTACAGCCGGCCCTGGGGACAGACACAGGGTGGGAGTCACTACAGGTGCCGTGGGGCCCTGGCTGGCACACCAGAGTATGTCTGTGTGTAAGGGCTTCTGCGGCACCTCAGAAAAGGCACCTCCCCACCCCCCCAAGCTAGGGAAATTACAGAATGAAGGACCTTTACGTGGCAACATTTTAAAAGGAGTCTCTTCCTTCAGGCAGCCCCAGCCCCAGCCAGGGGCTGTTTGGCTAGTGGCACACAGGTGGGTTTCATCCCTAACAGCCTGTGGAGGGCACCTGCATGTTGGGCACAGCTGCACCAGCGTACACGATGGCGGGCACCTGTCTGTCAGGCCGTGGGGTCAGGCCTGGATTCCAGTGCAGGGTCCTCCACACACCAGCTGGGCGACCTCAGGCAAGTCACTTGATATCTCTGAGCCTCAGTTTCCTCATCAGGAAAATGAAGGTGGGTGTGAGGATGGAATAAATTCCAGATGTGAGACTGCTTAGCACGTGCCTGGGTCATAGGTGCTCCGCACACAAGCCGAATGAATGCGTTTGCATGTATGTCACATGCCGGTGTGTGTGTGTGTGTGTGTGTGTGTGTTGGGACGGGCGCTCTCCAGCTCCCCACATCCTCGCTACCTGGTCCCCTGCTCACCCTGCCAGCTCCATCCACGGGCTGATTGTACAGCCGAGTGCTGACCACATCGAAGGGGGTCATGACCGCCACCACCGCCACACTGCTGATCATGCCTCCGGCCAGGGCCACCAGCCAGCTGTCCTCCGGGAGCCACTGTGGGGATGGCACAGGCTGCTGACACCTGCCGCTGCTCCCACCAGCCTCCCTCCACCTGGGGGAAGGGAGAAGACAGGGCCCCTCCAGCCATTCCCCACCCACATCTCCCCCACAAGGTCCTTCACACCTTCAGGGTTCACTGCTGGCCCCCCATTCCTGCTGGGCCCAGGGGTCCTATGGGGCCTTGTCTGTCACCACCCACTGGGGTTCCCTGTGTGAGAGTCCAGCTGGAGATGTTGAGGTGTGACTCGGGCCCAGGCAGAGAAGGAGAAAGGAAGCAGGTGGCCCTCTGCACTCTTGTGTGTCTGTGTCCCTGGCCCCTCACCTGTCGCTCCTGCACCCAGGCCTTGGCAGAGGCGAAGGTGGCCAGCTGGGCAGCTGAGCCAACCATGACTCGGGGCACAGCCCCGCCCACACCCCGCCATAGACCTGCCAGGCCCTGCTGCCGCCAGATGGTCTCCAAGGCGCCCAGGACGCTCTGTGGGGAGAGGGCACAGGGTCATTGGGCAGCCCCTTGCCTGCCCAGGAGCCCACCCAGCCCGGGAGCTCTGGGGAGTGACAGTCCCACCTGGTGGTGGTGCTGGTGCCCCACAGCCATCTCGGCCACCGTCTGGGCCTGCAGCTGCGTTTTGACCTGTGAGAGCAGAGGTGATGGAGGGCTTAGGGCCCAGCCTGGGGAGCCTGGCTGAGCTGTGTGGGTGGAGGGCACCCTTTCCTGGTCTCCCGGGGCAGAGTGCAGGCCCGGGCAGCGATGTTCCAGGGAGCAGTCCCACCGGGCACCTGGACCTCCAGGAGCCCACATCTGCAGCTTAGGGGGCGTGTGAAACAGGGTTGGGGCGAGTCTCCAGAGTTGGCCGGGTCTGCACACACCTCCTGTGTCTGCTTACCTTCGAAAAGCTGTTCTGAGGGCCGGGGGAGAGGACAGCGGTACCGCATCCAGCCTAGTGCCGGCCTGGCTCCAGGAAGCGTCATTCTTTTTTAAAATGTTTTTATAGAGAGAGTACTTATTCATTTTTTATTTCTTTTAACTGTTTTTTATTGATTTTTGGAGAGAGAGAAAGGGAGAGGGATAGAGAGATAGAAACATGGATGAGAGAGAAACATCATTGATCAGCTGCTCCCTTTCCGCCTCTGACTGGGGATGGAGCCCACAACCTGTGCATGTTCCCTGTCCAGGAATAGAATAGGTGACCTCTTAGTTCCTGGTTGATGCTCAACCACTGAGCTACACCAGACAGGCAGGGAAGCTTTATTATTTTTTATTTTTTAATATGTTTTTTTAAAAATATTTTATTGATTTTTTTACAGAGAGGAAGGGAGAGGGATAGAGAGTTAGAAACATCGATGAGAGAAAAACATCGATCAGCTGCCTCCTGCACATCTCCTACTGGGTATGTGCCCGCAACCAAGGTACATGCCCTTGACCGGAATCAAACCTGGGACCCTTGAGTCCGCAGGCCGACGCTCTATCCACTGAGCCAAACCGGTTAAGGCTTAATATGTTTTTATTGACTTTTTTTAAGAGAGAGAGAGGGAGGGAGAGGGATAGAGATGAGAGAGAAACATCAAAAGGCTGCCTCCCGCATGTCCCCCACTGGGGATCGAGCCTGCAACCTGGGCATGTGCCCTGACTGGGAATTGAACCAGTGACCTCTTGGTCCATGGATGGATGCTCACCACTAAGCCACACTGACTAGGCTGGAAGCTTTATTCTTGACTTGTACAAGCCACACAAGTGCACACCTCCAGCACACCTGCTACCCTCTGCCCCTGCCCTGGCTCAGGACCTGCAGGATGGGGACTCCAGGGGACAGAGGATGGGGCAAGGTCCTGGGGCAGATTTCAGTCCTGGGAAGGGATGTTCCAGGGAGCAGCCCCACCTAGCCTGCCCCCACCCCCTTCACTGCCTCCCCTCCCCCCGCCCTGGCCACAGAGGCCAGCCCTGGAAGCTTCGGAGCCCTGGCGGGAGTTGGGTCACGGGATGGTGGAGGATGGAGACGAGGCACTCACCAGGTAAGCAGGGCTCCCCACGAAGGCTCCCAGTGCCCCAGCCACCGCACCTGCAACGACGGTGCCACCTGGCTGCTGGGTGAGGCCAGCCTGGCAGGCCAGGCTGTAGCAATAGAAGCGGACGCTGTTCATCAGGCCCTGGTAGAGCAGGCTGGCGGCCAGCCCCTTCTGCAGGCCACTCAGCCCATCTGCTCTGGCCACGGTGACGATGGAGGCCACAAAGCCCCGGTAGGGCTGAGGGTAGGTGCCCGGGGCCTGCAGCTCCCCCTGCAGCTGCAGCCGAGTCTTCACCACCTCCAGGGGGTTGGTGAAGACGCAGGCCAGGCAACAGGCCGAGGCACCCAGCACCAGGTCCACAGCCGGGGCCACTGCTCCCGTGTCCTCTGTGCCAGCAGCCGGCTGTGCCCGGGTCAGGGGCATGGCACAGACCCTGGGGTGGTGGCGCTCAGGTTGCCTGTACCCCTGGAGGGTCACAGGGCTAGGGATCGAGGGGCCCGGGGGCCATGTCTGGAGGGCAGGGTCCGGAGGGACAGGCCTGCAGCTTGCTGATCTATCCCGGGAGTCCACCTGCCCCGTGCTCAGCTCACGCCTGGGCTGTGGGTGCCTGGGACACACCCCTGCTGGGTTCTGACCAATCCCAGCTGCCTTTGTTCTCCACACCTCCTGGCTGGGCGGACCTAGACACTGGGATCTGGGGCAAAGGTCACCTGGACCAGAAAGAGATTGGGGGCGGGGAGAAGGTGCCAATCAGCTGCGCCTCCTTCTCCTGCCCCTTGTCCTCCAGCCCTCCCTGTGGTCCCTGGGGCAAAGGGCTGGTGCTTCTGCCCCACCTTAGGCTTAGCCAGTCCTGCTGCAGCTCAGAGCCCTGGGCATGGGGAACTGCCCCGGGGGCTCCTGGCCAGTCTGCCGGGCAACTCAGCCACAGCCCCACTCCTACCCCTGCAGCGTGTGAGGGCCCCTCCCCGGCCTCCGCCTTCCAGTCTGGCTCCCACAGTCTGCGGTCCCACCGTCAGGGCGGGCAGAGGAGGGACTGACCTGGACCCCAGCGGTGCTAGAATGGTCACTTCCCCTGAGCGTCAGCTCTCCATTTGTAAAGGGGGGCGGACATACCCACGGCAGAGCTTCTCTGGAGGGTCAGCGATGTGTGAAAAGCACCCAACAAAGGTGGTCCACATCCCCCCTGCCGGGGTCCCTGGGGGGGTAGGAGACCTCCAGGAGTGACCAGTGGCTTTCACCACTTACCTGGTAGGGACTTGTCCCTCCGCCCTACCCGCCTTCCAGTGGGAGCCCCTCCTGGGTTGTGGCTTCTGGAGGAGCCCCTGCAGGAAATGGCCCTTTGTGCCTGGTGAAAGGCGCACCCCCCCACCCAACCCGGCACTGCTGCCAGGCGCCAGGCTGCTCACCTTGACCTCTGCCCTCAGAGCAGTTCTCTCCTGCCAGGGCCACCCTGCATCACCCTAGGCGCTGGTGTCAGTGTCAAAACCGGAGGCAGAGCCGCCCTGCCTGGAACCGTGCCTCGGTGGCCGCCACACCCACCCCCTCCCGAGTCTACCCCTTTCCTCCGGTGTGTGTGAGGCCCTGGAGGTGGCAGTGGCAAATGGCTCCCCAGCCTGGTAGGCTTGGCATCCTCTAGCCAGCCCCTGGGGCAGCAGCTCGACAAGAGGCCTCGGGAACAGCGTGAACTCTCCCAGGTTTACCCGAGTGGCTGGCATCTACCCCCATGGCCGGGAGGCCAGGAGACAGGAGTGACTTTCTGGTAGTGGAGACCTGCCTAGGACTGGGCCACCCCACCCCTGGCCCCTGCAGGAAACAGGAGGGAGGGCAAAGGTCAGGCCGTGGAACTCCCAGGCCTGGGCTCCTCCAGACTCGAGTGCCCCAGGGCGCAGGGACTCTGGTTCCCAGTGTTGGCACCGGCGGCTAATGGAACTTTGTGGAATGAAGAACGAGGGTCGAGGGGCCTGAGAAGAGGGATTGGAGGTCCCCCACCCCATCCTGGTCAAAAAGGGCCAGTGACAAGTCTTGGCAATATAACATCTATTTTATTTTAAAAAACAAAACCCAGACCCAACTCCTTCCCCGAGAGGGCCCTTGACAAGCTCTTGGGAAGAGCCTGGCTCTAGCCAAGCAGGACAGTCAGGAGGCTCCAACGTGGACCCCAGGCTGGTGGGCTCTGCCCCACTCCATGCCCGCCTCCCTCCCCTCTGCTCCCGGTGCAAGGACACAGCCCGATTCCTGGGTCCACGGCACTGCCAGGTTCAGGGAGAGGCAAGGGCAGGGGCCCACGGACATGCAGGGCCTCCTGGCAGCCAGGGAGGGCCAGTCCCCGTGGGACGGGTTAGTGAGGAGATGACATGCACTAAGACCTCAGTGTTCCGCTTCCCTGCACGGCCGGGTATACGTTCAAAAATGAACAGGATGGCCAGACACTCCGGGCCCCAGGGCGGCCTGAGCCTCTGCCCGGGCCAGGGAGGAAGAGGGGACCCCCCCCCATCCTTCTGCTCCCTCAGGGTCGATATTATTCCCATCGCCATCCTAAAGAGATGGAGTGGGCTGAGGCGTGGCCCTGGGAGGAGGCTGTGCAACTACAGAGCCCATAGGGCTCAGACCTCTGCCCCTGGCATTCCCAGTGCCCACCTGCTGGGCAGGTGCCCAGGGTGTTCTGCACCCACTCTGGATCACAGGGAGGGACAGACCCTGTCTCAGGCCCCGCCCGCTGGTTCTACCGCCCGGGGTGGAAGTGGGCTGTGGAACGGGTGGAGGCCTGGCCCCGAGCAGCGCGCCGCCGCTGTGGTGACTGTGTGTGCCCCACGC